TACTGGTATACCGTTTGTTTCCAAAATATATACCAATACCATACCGAAGTAATTCGGTACGGTATCATACCGTACCAAGAGCGTCGGTATACCAAACATTTCGGTAAATTCGGTATTTTTCGATATGGTAAGTTCGGTATACCGAAATTTCGGTATTTTTCCCCACCCCTACATGTTATAGTGCACCACATTTGTATAAAAGTGGAGTTCTCACGTTCTCGCGTTAAGGATGGTTCTCATTTGATGCTATATATATATATATATATATACATATATATATATATATATATACATATATATATATATATATATAGGTTTTGGTTCAAATAAGAACACGATCTTATGAGAGAAATGAGAACGAATTTGGACTGTTAGATTTGCTTCAAGTGAAATTCAGTGTGCATTAGATGAAACTGTAATGTGCATTAGGTGAAATTGAAATGTGCATCACAAAGGGTACAATAGAGTGACATTATGTGCAGTTGAATTGTGCATTACGTGAAATTGAAATGTGCACTAGGCGAAACTGAAATGTGCAGAATAAAAAGTACGATGTGATGTTATTTTTGTACTTTTTTTTCGCACATATCAGTTTTATCTAATGCACACTTGAGTTTAAATTTTTATTTTGCACATTTCAATATCATTTAATGCACATTTCAGTTTCACCAAATGCACAATTTGGTTCCACCTAATACAATCCAACGGTCCAGATTCGTTCTCATTTTTCTCCTAAGATCTGTTCTTACCGGAACCGCTCCCTATATATATATATATATATATATATATATATATATATATATATATATATATATATATATATATATATATATAGAGAGAGAGAGAGAGAGAGAGAGAGAGAGAGAGAGAGAGAGAGATCAAATACAAACTAGACTTAACATGCTAACCTACAAACTAATCATATCCATCCATTTAGTTAAGATCACCGTTCGGTTCTAAGGATTTGAAGACAACAAATTTATTAAGCATGAGGGTGTTTTAGTCATTTGAACTTAACCTAATAATGGGGAAAAATCATGTTGCATTCCATAACCGCCTACTCCCTTTAATTCCTTTCCATCTCTGCGATTGATTCTCGTCCATTCACTTCCATCTATGCGATTAATAGCTATTCATCTCCTTCAGCTCTCTACTTTTCTTCGATCGCCATTAATGTCAAAGCCACCGATTAACCTTTCTCAGATCACTATCGTCGAACGCCATGGAAACGGGTATAAGTGTATGAACTCCAGTTTCATACTAAAAAAAAATGGTTATCGTTTTCATCTCCATATCCAAACTTTTCTTTGATTATTCAGTTCCTAGCAACCATTAATAAGGAACTTCTCTACAACATAAGTAATTCTTCTATAGTTATAATTTCATCCTCATTTTCTTCCCCATGAAATTCTGCACTTTGGATACTTTTTTAATTCTTTATATGAGATTTAACAAATTTTGACATTTTGGATTTGAATCCATTGTGCACACCAGGAAAACATCTTTTTTCATTATGAAATTTATCATAATTAGCGTTTTGACTTTTGCCTTCATAAAGTTCATCAATTTCATATTTATGCAGAAAAGTGTTTAAATATTTCTACGTTAATGTGACAGAAATATTATGTATTTTGTGACCTCATGAGTTTAGTATGCATGTTTGTTAGTATACAATGCAGGTGCCATAGAGATAAGATGCAGTATGAACTTTTAAAGTGCACATATAATCTTACTAAAATGTAATATATGAGCTTCTAAATGCACATGTCACAATTATAAAATGCAACACATGAACTAGTAAGGTGCAGACGCCAAAGCGGTAAGATGCAATATGGACTTCTAAGATGTCGTAGCGATAAGATGCATCATATGATCTCCTAAGATGCATATGTCATCTTACCGAAATTCAATATACTCTGTATGAACTTCTAAAAATGAACATGTGGTAATGATACAATGCAACATATGAACTTTGAGAATCACTGTAAAATGAATTCACATGTTACAGTGATAAAATGCAACGTATGAACTACTAAGATGCAAATGCCAAAGCGTATAAGATGCAGCATATGGTCTGCTAAGATGCGCATGTCATCTTACTAAAATATTGTATACGTCGTATGAACTTGTAAAAGTGAACATGTGATGATAATGATCAATGCAACATGAACTTTGTTAATGACTGTAAAATGAATGCACTTGTCATAATGATAAAATGCAGCATGTGGACTTTAAAAGTGCAACATAATAAATTAATGGGCTCAATATGACAACCATTATATAGATAATGATCATATCATGTGACTTAAAGTGCAGCATATGCACAACTAATATGCATACTTAACCATTATGAAGTGATTAATTTCGTAAATAAAGGAATTTAATTCACAAATATTATCATATGCAACATTATACTCATTCAATGCACATCTCATAATCTTAAAATGCAGTTCTCATTTTGTAAGGAGCTGGGTTTCAAATTTGAAGTTTATTAAGGAGCGATTGATTGACTCTATGAATCAAGATATAAGTTTTGTAATTGATCGATACCATTAATTATATGTTGCAAAAGGTAAGTTATTTTGTAACTTATGGCTAGGATCAATTCAGGGATTTAGCTTGTCTGCCACTTACCTTCAATGAATTGCTTATATTTAGATGATTATTTGATTAGTGGAAAGTAGACAACGACAATTCCAGGGAAATATGTTTTAAGATGACCCTTATAGCCTTCCAACTAATTTATTATATGGTAGTGGCTCTTACGATTTTGATTTACTACATCTCAACCCATAACTACTACCATGGATGTCATACGCATGACCATCCGTATTAATCAATCCAACGGATGTAGGTGGTTTGTAGTTTGCACCGAAAGCATGGATTGCATGGGATCTTCCCCCAAGAGATCAAATACAAACCCTCCTTAATTTACAAACTACAAACTCATCTTAACCGTCCAATGAGTTGATCTAAAGGACATGAAGGCAAAGTGACATTTTTGTAATACAACCCAACTCTTTTAGGGTGCAACTCGTTGAACTTTAATGTGCAACTGCTATTTTATGACGGAATAATATGCACCACTTTCAACCTCAATATGCAATACAAAGAACGTCAAGGTGCATCATACAAATTAAACATTTGCACAATAAGCACAGTTTGTACTTGATCTTTTCCCTATATATGTGTGGGTGGGTGGGCACGCGCGCTGAATATACATAACATATACTTTTTATCCATTTTCTTCCTTCTTTCCTCTTTTTTAAATGTTAATTAAATTTAAAGTGACTTTAAGTAAATTCTTAAAAGACTTGAACTGTTTATTGTATTTTTACACTTAATGTAAATTCTTAGACATAATTCTGTATTCACAATTTACATTAATTTTACATAAATACACTATATATCCCTTATTCAATTCATTTATTTATTAACATAATATCCGAAAAATTAAAAACTTTGTGACCAATTTATCTCTTATAAAGTGAAACTTGTTAAGTACGACTTCATGTTTTGTTTGACAACCGACTAGGAGGCCGTTTGGCAACACTGTTTTTCGACTTATCAGCCAACTTTTTCACCAAACACGTAACTTTTGCTTTCGCGCGCTGAATTGTGTGATAAGCAGAAAAAGTAAGGTTGAAGTTACTTTTCTGGCTGTATTGGTTGAAGTTACAGTATATGATCATTTTAGGTATTTTACATGTAATTTTTTCTTTATTTTATTAATAAAATATATTTAAAAATTAATTTTTTCTTAAATCAGCAGAATCAGCCAATGCAGCTACTTCAGACAGAATTTCATAAATTTTAGCAGAATCAGCCAAATCAGCCGATTTTGTGCTACTAAACGAGCTCTAGTTGTTAGCTTAACTAAATTTATACTCCCTCCATCCTCTAATTAAGTTCTCACTTTCCTTTTTGGGAAGTCCCTAAATTAAGTTCACACTTCAATACTTTCCTCATTTGACATATTATCTACATCAAAACAGTGCCAAACATTGCAAAACCGTGCCAAATAATGTTCAAATAGTGTCAAACAGTGTTTAAACAATGCAAAACAGTGCACTCCACAGTCAAATCTATTTTCTATTTTCCTTAATGGGGGTATTCAGCTGTTTTTGACATGTCTGACATAATATTTAGTGTGAAGTCGCCCATATCATTTCATTCATTTGAATTCTTGAATACGCCAGTAACCATAGACATGCATGTGATTACCAAAAGTAGGCTAAACGCATACAAACTACTACTACAAAAGTTAACACTACAATAAGTAAAAGGTAAAGTAAATTGAAAAAGTTAACAAAGTTTTAAGAAGTCTTGTACAAATGTCAACAGTTATTTTTGAACAAATGCCGAGTTTTTAACCCAGAGGAATACACCTCCTCTTACTTTGCATACTCTGAAATTCTGGATTCATAATTTCTAACTCTGGCCTTTATGAACAAAACAAAATGTTCGTGGGATTAAATGAATTATTATGTACTCAAGTATGAGGAACTGGTTCAGAACTCATGGAATACTTTATTTCATGACTGTCACATAGAGAATAAAACAATTTCCATACCTCTAATAAGTTATCATTTATGACTGAAGTTTCCTCACTCTCGTCTCTCCAACGCTGACCAAAACAGGACAACCACCACCCTACCGCTTACCTCATCAGAGAATCATGTTTTTCTTCTACGTTTTTTAACTCTTTTATAAGGAATATCTTTACCCAAAAAATGGACACAATTTCATCCTGTGATGTCAACATATGAATAGTATATGAAATTAATGCAGATACGTGAATAAAATCCGGTCAAATATGATATAAAAACCTTTATGTAGATTTAAAGAAAATCCGAAATGGCATATAATATCTTGCTTCATTTTCAACCCACACCGACCCTGATCTGCTTCTGGGTTTTTTCAAACATTTTTCTCTCACTGTGGGCCCCACTTCCCTTACTTTCCACTTCTATAAAATCCACATCAATAGAAGAAGCTGAGTGAAATCAAGAAATAGAGAGAGAAAATCAAGAAATAGAGAGAGAAAAGAAGAGAGAGATGGGAATCCAACGGTTTAGATTATCAGATATGATACCAAATGCTCTGTTTTACAAACTTAGAAACTTGGGCAAGAAAAACAGAGCAAGCAACCTTAACAACAACAAAGAGCCGCTGTCCACGTCATCGTATTTAACGGCGGCGAAAGCAACAAGTCAGCCGCAGAGGAAATCTTACCACTTTCCGAGGGAGCACCAAAACAGCCCTCCGCCGCCGCCGCCGCACTACATTTACCTTGAGCCGCCGAGGAAGTCTTCCAAGAAGAGGCGGAGCAGCTACAGGAGGAGCAGCAGCCGGACATCCACTCCTAGGCTGCCGCCGTCTTCCTCCGGTTCCGGCATTTGCAGCTGCCGGCCATCCACAGACTCTGCCTGGACAAATAAGCAGGATTCCACCCCTGAATACTTCCCGGATTCGCCCCTCGACAGCACCTCCTCATCCTCCTCCGGGAAAGACTCCATCTTGCCGGAGCTTGTCTCCAGGCCTGTCCTCTCCGCCGCCGCGCCGGGGAAGTTCGCCGGGAAGCTCCACTACGACGACGATCATGACCGGTTCGAAACGGGCCCGAAAATCGAGCTCCCTCGCATCATTACAAAGCCCATCGTCAAGAATTCAGATGAATCTGCGAGGATTAAAGGTGGACCAAACCAACCGTGCAAATGTGGAGGAAATTCTGATGAGAAGAAGGTGAAGAAGAAGAAGGCATGCTGCGGCGGCCCTGTTCATAGAATTTCCGGGAACTCGCCCGCAGGGATGAAGCTGAGAACGAATTCTCCGAGAATCGGTAGAATTCAGGGGAGGAGAAGCGTGTCATCAAGAAAAAACATCTTGCCGGAAAGTTTCGCCGTCGTGAAGACATCTCAGGATCCACAGAGGGATTTCAGGGAGTCAATGGTGGAGATGATAGTGGAGAACAACATCAGGACGTCCAGTGACTTGGAAAATCTTCTTGCTTGCTTTTTGTCTATGAATTCCGATGAGTACCATGATATGATCATTAAGGTCTTCAAACAAATCTGGTTTGATATTGCCAATGTTAGGTTGAATTAGCTTAAATTTACTTAAATTAGTTTAATATATATGGAGTATCTCTTATGTAAAGTGTTCCTTTCTTTTTGAAGTTATTTTCTCCATAAGTAGAATTTAAATAAAAGTTTATGCTTTTCTTATTAAAACATTACTCCGTACTATTCTTTTTTAATTTGTGTCGAACACATTAGTAGGTTTTTTCCTTCTAAAATAAGCAATATTACTCATATGACTTGCTAAATTTCAATGAATACTCCCTCCGTCCCTTATAATTTTGTCAATTTTCCTTTTTTGGATGTCCCATTAACTTTGCCACTTTACCTTTTAAGTAAAGAATTTGTGGTTCCTGTTAATTCTCTCTTCTTTGCACAAACCTCAATCACACAGTTTTACGTTATTAATCCTCGTGCCGGTCAAACTTGGCAAAGTTATTAGGGACGGAAGGAGTATAATATGGAGTAATATGACCAAATGTCTAAGTATGTTGTGGTCTGATGGCATCACTGTGGCACTTCCAAAAAGGAAGTCACAAGTTCGAATTTCATCTCAGTTCAAGGATGTTAGCCTTAACATTGGACAGATAATTTTGACTTGGTATACTTTTATACCAAGTCAAAATTATACTTTTATACTTTCATCATAGTGAGTACTATGATGAAAGCTTTGAATATAATTATAGCCGCTCAAAATTACTAAGTCACATTTTAGTTCCCTGTTATTATTTTAATCATAATAAAATTGTCTCTTTTATTATCTAAAATTGGCATTGCTGTATTGATCATGTGTAATTTATTCCATATGATGAACTCATCTAAGAGCACAAATATTTTCAGTTGTTGTACGGTAATTAGGTTATACATCAATTCTTATAATGCCCCACGCTAATAAGTTTATTATGTGATCAGTACAGGCAAAATGGATGTATTTGAGAAAAATTGCTGTCACTTAGAATGTTTGCAATCTTTCCCAAATCTCAAAGGAGTGTTTAAGTTCATGGACATCAATTAATACATCACGAGTAAGAGTAGCAAAAATCCAAGAACGAATTGTTTGATCAACCCTTAACCAGTGATGATACTCCGTATTAATTATTTGATGATTATTAAAGTCAATCGTGTACATCGGAGGTACCTTTGTGGAACCATCCAAGAAACCAAACACACCTTGAGAGACGAGGAAAGCTTCGAATTGAGTGCGCCAGGTGATGTAATCTTCCACAACTTTAAGCTTAATAGTAACAATTTGAGTAACGTTGTTGGCCGGTGAGATGGATTGAGAAACCACTGCCATCGGAGACTGAAATAGGGAGGGATCATGCGGCCGAGATATCCCAGGAGCACCGAAAAATGTTGAACCAAAACTGCCAGGGGTGGGGTGTAGCGGTTGCGCGGTAGACGGTACCGGAGTTGAGAAGAGACTGCCGGCAGCAGGAATGACCGGTGGCTGCCATGGGAGTACCGAAGGGATGGTGTGAAACAGAGAGTACGGACCATCCGTAACAATAGGGGAACCGGCAGTGTGCAAAGATGATCCCGGTTGAGAAGAAATCACTGGCGGCGGCTCGGTCAAGGAGACAGAGGCGCTAGTGAGGACCACGGCTGCGTCGGTAAAAGGGGCAGAAACCGGCGCCATAGTCGAGGAGGTAGAAGCAGCAGTGAAGGCATCCATGGAGGAGGAAGAAATTTCAGTGGTGGAAGCCATGGTTTCGGCGGAAGAGAAGGCAACGGCCGAAGGCCTAGATCGAACGAGGGTTAAGGAGAGAGAGAAAAATTAGGCTCTTGATACCATGTGAAATAATGGGAAAGGTTACCCCAATAGGGTACCTGGCAGGTATATTTATAATAATAAGAGTTTCCAAGAATACAAATTATTCCTAAATTAACATTAGGCTATTACCTAATTTAATATTAGGCTATTAATACGAGCTGGTGTACATCATTGTCCAACAAATTAAATAATCTATAATAAAATGCAACCATGTCCAGAAAAAAGTCGTTGTGTATTAAAATGTCTTTGAAAACAAGTTAAACAACGAAGAATCGAATTTGATAAACTTGGACTAGTTATATTAATACTTCATCTAATCTTAAAAAAATTAAATGCAACGGTGAATTTTACACATTTACTGATACACAGATTAATATATATGGAGTATAATACTCTATTTGTAAAATAATAATAATAAATCAGATTTTGAAAATTTACAATGAGACAAATTTAACAAAAAAAAAATCAAAAAATATTATTAATACATTAATAAATAAAACGTAGTCAATGTTGAACATGTGAATGATGTAAAATTTAATTGTTAAGAAAAAGGTAGTATATATAATACGGAGTACTTTATTAGAAAGAATTGAAGATACAAACAAATGCAACCTGAGAGGTAATAAAGTTCTGTTAGCTTATAATTCTATGATATACGAAGTATAATGGTCATACTTCGCAGAATTTAAAATTGGCTAAAGGGTCAAATAGGCCCTTGAACTGACTTAAAGTGTTCAATTAGCCCCTTATATAGGAGGTTCTGCCCGGCCGTCGCCAATTGGGGCGGTTCCCGGTGGAATTTTTTTATGAAAGTTTTTTATCATCTTCTTCATTAAGTCTAGTTTACCCATACCAAATTTCAGCTAAAAATTCAACCGGGAAGGCAGTCAAATGATTTTCCGAAATGTACTGCGATGTTTAACTTCGCAGTTACCTTCAAAAAATCATTTGACTGCCTTCCCGGTTGAATTTTTAGCTGAAATTTGGTATGAGTAAACTAGACTTAATGAAGAAGATGCTAAAAAAATTTAATCAAAAAATTTCACTGGGAACCGCCCCAATTGGCGATGGCCGGGCAGAACCTCCTATATAAGGGGCTAATTGAACACTTTAAGTCAGTTCAAGGGCTTATTTGACCCTTTAGCCTTTAAAATTTGTATCTGACATTTTTTGCGAAAGCATATTTAACTTACTTGGGAACGACGTATATATAATTAAAAAGAATTTAACGTTATAGCTGAAATTAAGATATACAGGGGAGATGTCCCGATATTTAGGATGTTTTCTTTTGGACTGAAATTTGCTGGTCTGGTATGATCTGGTCTGTTTAAGTCTGGTCTGGTCTGGTCTGGTCTGTTTAAGTCTGGTCTGGTCTGAACTGGTCTGGTCTGGTAAACGTCTGGTCTCTGTGTATTTTATAACTACGGAAGTCTGGTCTGGTCTGGTCTGGTCTGTTTAAGTCTGGTCTGGTCTGGTCTGTTTAAGTCTAGTCTAGTCTGGTCTGGTCTGTTTAAGTCTGGTCAGGGACTGAAAACAGTCCAAAAGAAAACATCCTTAAAGTTTTTGTAAAACATATTGATTTACTTCATAGATCTTTATGTGATTTTTTTATTGTAATAAATTTGAGTGAATATTTATTGATTTAATATAAGGTCCTCAGACACAATAATGTTATTAACAGAAGTCAGAAATTGCTTCAAATAGAAATAAAACATGGACCAAGTCAATATAAGCGACTAGAAACAACATCAAAAGATCATAATCAAAAACCATCTTTCGTTATTTGGTAAGCCAATTTTCTTTATTAAAAATAAATATTCCCTCCTTCCCGCAAAATAGTTCCCGGTTTCCTTTTTGGGCTGTCCTAAAAAATAGTTCATATTTCCCTTTTTGGAAAGTTGTGTGTGGCTCACATTCAGTTACTCTTTTCTTACTCAACCACAATCATACATTTACACTTTATTCCTACTTTCTTAAACTCCGATCCAAGTCAATGCGGGAACTATTTTATGGGACGGAGGGAGTACATCGTTTTTCTTTCACACAAAACATACTGCAAATGCTTTCGTTTTTTTGGGAGTGTGAATACATAAATTAAAGACTGGTAATAATATAAATGGAGAGAACTTTTCATGTCCAGCCGGCCTGACAAGAACCGCCGTCCGGCCGAGGGCATTTCAGTTTATAGATATAAACTGCCCAGTTAACTTCAAGAAATTATTTGAGTGCCTTCCCGATTGACTTTTAGCTGAAATTTGGTATGGATAAACTAGATTTCATGAAGAACATGCTCAAAAAATTTCATCAAAAAATTCCACCGGGAAGTTCCCGAAATGCCCTCGGCCGGACGGAGCATCCCGTCGGGCCGGCGTGACATGAAGACTACTCTATAAATGGATATGTTTCTTATAGTACTGTTTGACTTTATTTAGATTAAGGTCAATAGCAAATCTTAGAGAGAAATTTGCAGATTAGATTTTTCAAGATATTGTACCATTTCTTTGCCCCACACGAAGATAAGATAACAAAATGTAATACTTTACATTTTAAATATTACACATAGATTAATTGCATTATCAGATTTTTTCTAATAATTGTGACGACCATGCTCAGAATTTTTAATACATATGCTTTACATGTTAATTATATATCATCCTACATACTCATAATGAGCATGCTCCATGATCATTATTATTTTTCTTTGAGACAATGTGATGTGGTGCATATTTACATATACTCCATATGTAGTATAAGACTGTACTGGAGTATTATGTATGTAACGATATACTATTAATTAATTATCAATAATGCACCCCCCCCCCCCCCCCCCGTAAATCTTTGACGTATTCACCAACAGGATTCCTCACTAAACAAATAAATAAATCGCTGAGGTACTATTTAAGTTATTTTCTTCGAGGCTGAAAGTATGTGGTGCATATTTAAGATGTTTTCTCTGGACCAAAATCTCGGTGTGGTCTGTTTAAGTTTGATCTTATTTGATCTGGTCTGGTAAATGTTTTGTCTCTGTGTATTTTATAATTGTTCAAGTTTAGTCTAATTTGATTTGATTTGTTTATATATGATCTGATCTGTTTAAGTCTGGTGTAGTCTGATACTCTGATTTAGGACTGAAAATAGTCCAACAAAAAACATCGATCCTTACATATACTCTATCTATAATGCTGAAGTATCATTTATCTAGCGAATTGTGTAGTATATGTGTTTTTTTTTTTGGAAAAAGTATGTGTTTTGTTGGAAATTTTGATTAAAACATTCCAACATTTTCCTAGTAGTGGTGTGCACAAGCAATAGTGTCTAATACAATTGTAATAGATCGATGTGTAGCGTGAATTTGAAAATTTAATTCATCCAATACAATTAAATAGATTTTAAACCATAAAAGAATCCAAT